TGCCCTGCTTGATCACAGAACCACTTTGAGTATTTTCTGCCCACTAGGTACTTTAACTTTCCCATTCCTAACAATGTATACATATCTTTGACAGACATATGCGATGGAAACACTCTACTGTCTCAATGTCCTTTAATAGATTTGTGAGATTTATCTATTAGAGTATAAATTCCTAAATGGCTATATTCAGAGTCTGGAGACCTGGGATATAGTCTTAGATGATAGCAATGGAATTTTCTTTTCTTTTTTTTTTTTTTTAAAAAGCAGTTGTACAATGTTTTCCTCAGGTTTCTTCCAGTCCTAACACATATGATTATATGGGAGTTACTGTATCTATCAAATTATTTTTGTACACAAACTAGTACACAGAGTGGGTACTTCACTGTCAAGTGTCTATTCATCTTTCAAGACTCAGTTCAAGTGGCTCCTCTTTTCAGTTTTCCTTGGTTATCCTAAATAGAGACAATCTTACTTCTCTGAACATCTACAGAAGTCATTGTTTATACTACATATATGAAGCTTACATACCATATTGTGTCCCAATTATTTTAATTCATGTGATATAACCTCTACCTGACTGTAAGGTCCAAGAAAGCATATTCATCTCTATAGCCTCTTGTTCTGATATTGTGTTTAATAAATTTTTATTGAACCTGCTAAACTGTTTTTCTAAAAATATAACCAGAAGAAGTTTTATACATCAAATAACTATGATATAACTATTCTCATCTGTAATTTTTTGGGGAGAGGGATAGAAAAGAATTTAGGTAAAATAAGTAGGCAACAAGGAATTTTCTCAGGGATCTTAGATACTAAGTAATAAACAGTGAACTCAGGAGCATAAGCTGAACCAGAACTGCCACTTTTTCAAATCTTTCTAGATAACCAACCATATATGCATGTGGAGTGTAATAAAGGAATGGGTATTTAGAGGAAGAGTGGGAGGAAAACAGTTGAAGATGAAGAGCTCTTGAAATGACAATGACAAAATTTGGGTACCAGTTCTGCTAGTGTGAGGCCATTTGCTGGAAGTCTCTGAATCTCCCACTTTTAGCTTGGATACTCCATCTTATCCAACAGCTGCCTGCTTACACAGAATATCTGCAGCTCAGTTTTAATGAACTTTCCATGAAATTCAAGGGATTCACACACGGAAGTAAAACTCCCTTAACTGATACCTATTTAACTAACTGTATGCTTATATGAGCTGGTTGTATTAGCTCTTAAACCTATTTGTGTCAGTGATACATGTTATTGTAATTATACAATTCAATTAAATATTATATTAAAAAGATGAAAACTGAGTAGAAAATGACAGTTGTTTCTATGAAAACCAAGTGGATGCTTTGGAAAGCTCAATGAAAGAGTTGCTAAAAATGCTGTTAACTAGATGTAAATAAGCCGATGATGAAAGACTGAGCAACGGATATCATACAAATCTCTAAGGCTTACACAACTACATTGCTTCACAAGAATATGGTTTAACTCTTCTTTAGAGAAATCAACTGGAAATCTGTCCTTAAAGAAACCAAGATGATAGGTATGGTTTACGCAAGAAAAAGGACTCCTACTTAAAAATAAAACAATGGCCCTGTATCACAAGAGTGGTGAAGAAAATGTTGAAGGTCACGTGTATCATTTTTTTTATATTGAGTAGGGCTCTTCTATCACCACTGTGCCAGTTACTAATACAGACTGCTTCGGGTAAAAAGGGCTTCCTCTAAATTTCATAAATACCTTATTTAAGAAGATCTCATAGAAGTGTCACATGAAAATTTCAGTGTTGTAGATAAGGCATATGTATTCATATTACACGATTTTATGAATGATAAATTAATACAAAGGTCAAAGCAGACAAAAAAAAGCAGACAATCTAATCTTAATAGCAACTATTCAGTCTTGCTTTGCTGATGCTTATGAAAGTATAAGCTATATGTTTATCAACGTAAAATACTTTCACTATTACAGTTTGTATCAGAGTCTACTATATTACATTATTTTGTTAGTGAACATGAGAAAAACTTTAAACTTCAAACTGATTCAACAGTTTAAGAAAGTTTCTGAAGAGGCTAAAATGTTTTTATAAAATTCCTTATTTTTGTAAGCTTTCTACAAATTTGTGATAAGGCAAAACAATAACTTGTAAATCTAAGCTATCTTAATATATTGATTCTGTTTTTGCAAATTACTCCACGCTAATCAATAAATATGTTAATTTTACCAACTAAACTTTGTTTCAAATGACTTAGATTAAAATTACAAAGAAGTGTTTCAGACTGACATTTTATGTGATATTTTATTTACACTGCCTCATGACTATACTTTTAAATTCATCTACATTCTGGTTTGCCTACTGCACAGATTCTAAAGCCGGCAAAAAATAATCATTCTTTAAAAAATATAAGAAATCATGTCCTAAAATATTTTTCTGTCACATCTTCTCATAAATATACCAGTATGATAAATATACTTTCCCCTCTCTCTTATTAACTCTTACATACGTAGCATATGAGGATTGTGGATTTTTATTCAAATAAACAACATAAAACTTCAAATAAACAACTTAAAAACAAAAGCTTTTAAATTACCAAAATACTTCAATTGTCTCTATTAACTATAAACAAAATATATGATTCTGTAAGCAATAACTACTAAGATAAACAATTTTGACAAAAGAACTGGTAAATAATTTCTCAAAGGCTAGAAAGAAACACACTAGTAATTTTTAGTTCATTTTCCCTTCAAATATAAAATTTTCATTATTAGAGGAATAAAGTACAGAAGTTGGAGTCATTCACTTCCTTAAACAATTAGGAAAAACAGCTGTTTCATGAAAAAAAGTGAGTAGAATTAAACAAATTATCTGTCTCTCTTGCTCTTTGTATTTTCTGAAATGAGACATTTCCTCCAAAATTACAACTTCAAAGAATCTCAAAATCTGTACACCAAAACAATTATATATTCTTTCAAATATTCTGTTTATGTGTTGGAAATTTTCTAACCAGATGCAACAATTACAATTAGCAAAGAAATAATAGAATATGTGTTGGTATGCTAAATATAAAAAAATAAGAAATTGCCATATCAATATGATATGTACATTCCATTGTTTGAGGAAGACTGACTAGCAACAGAAACTTTGATCACCAGTTTAAGACAAAATATCTTGACTGCTCTTAAAGTTGCAAATAAAATGGAAAGCTATATCTATTTTTGCTTAATTATACCAATGCTTACGTAAAGTGTTTTTTTTTCACACTATGTACTTAAATGCTATTAAAATATGGTGACAAACTATTTGAGCTTTGTTCTTTTTTACTGGATATGCCTTAAATGATTAAATTTTTATTGCTTTTATATCTGTCCTAAAGATAGTATTGCTGCAGCTACGTAGCACAGGGAGATCAGCTCGGTGCTTTGTGACCACCTAGAGGGGTGGGATGGGGGGGTGGGAGGGAGACACAAGAGGGAAGATATATGAGGATATGTGTATATGTATAGCTGAATCACTCTGTTATAAAGCAGAAACTAACACACCATTGGAAACCAATTATACTCCAATAAAGATGTTAAAAAAAATGAAGTCGGGCTTCCCTGGTGGCGCAGTGGTTGATAGTCCGCCTGCCGATGCAGGGGACACGGGCTCATGCCCCGGTCCGGGAAGATACCACATGCCGCGGAGCGGCTAGGCCCGTGAGCCATGGCCACTGAGCCTGCGCGTCTGGAGCCTGTGCTCCGCAACGGGAGGGGCCACAACAGTGAGAGGCCCATGTACCGCAAAAAAAAAAAAGAAGAAGTAAAAATTATAAAACTGAAAACCATAAAAAAAAAAAAATTTATCAGAAAGAAGATGTGACACATATATACAA